GGGCTATAGGTGACGACCCCCTATAGGGGTCCGGGTGTCCCCTCCCCCCTCCAGATTTCTACGACCCCCAGCGCGACGCCGAGCCGTCCCACCGCGCCCAGCGGGGCGGCCGAGACCCCCAGGGGGAGGAGGAGGAGGAGGAGGATGAAGGCCCCGAGGAGGAGGAGGGTGGTGAAGATGGAGACCCTAAGGAGGAGGAAGGCGATGGTGAGGAAGGTGGGGGCCCCGAGGAGGAAGAGGAGGGAGGTGACCCCAAGTAGGAGAGAGGGGACACTGAGGGGGGAAGATGGAGACCCCTGAGGAGGAGGATGGAGACCCCAAGGAGGAGGATGAAGGCCCTGAGGAGGAGGAGGGTGGTGGTGAAGATGGAGTCCCTGAGGAGGAGGAAGGCGATGGTGAGGAAGGCGGAGGCCCCGAGGAGGAAGAAGAGGGAGGTGACACCGAGTAGGAAAGAGGGGACACTGAGGGGTGAAGATGGAGACCCCTGAGGAGGAGGATGAAGGTCCCAAGGAAGAGGAGGGTGAGGAGGAGGATGAAGGCCCCGAGGAGGATGGTGAGGAGGATGATGAAGGCCCCGAGGAGGAGGATGGAGACCCCAAGGAGGAGGAGGGTGGTGAAGATGGAGACCCTGAGGAGGAGGAAGGCAATGGTGAGGAAGGCAATGGTGAGGAAGGTGGGGGCCCCGAGGAGGAGGAAGGTGATGGTGAGGAAGGTGATGGTGAGGAAGGTGATGGTGAGGAAGGGGATGGTGAGGAAGGTGGGGGCCCCCGAGGAGGAAGAGGAGGGAGGTGACACCGAATAGGAGAGAGGGGACACTGAGAGGGGAAGATGGAGACCCCTGAGGAGGAGGATGAAGGCCCCAAAGAGGAGGAGGGTGGTGAGGAGGAGGATGAAGGCCCCGAGGAGGAGGATGGAGAGGTGGTGAAGCCGGAGGCCCCAAGGAGGAGGAAGGTGATGGTGAGGAGGAGGATGGAGACCCTGAGGAATGAGATGATGGAGGCCCCGAGGAGGAGGAAGGTGATGGTGAGGAGGATGGAGACCCTGAGGAGGAGGAGGAGGATGGAGACCACAAGAAGGATGGAGATGAAGATGGAGACACCAGGGAGGACAGAGACACTGAGGAGGAAGGCGGCGGTGAGGAGGAGGAAGGTGACAGTGAGGAGGCAGATGGAGAGGCTGAGGAAGAAGACGGAGATGCTGAGGAGGAGGAAGGAGATGAAGATGGACACCCTGAGCAAGACGATGGACACCCTGAGAGATGAGGAGGAGGAAGATGATGAAGATGATGATGATGATGGATTTGGAGCAACAAATAGGCTGAATGGGGCTTCCAGGCACTGTGACGGCCCCTCAGCCTTCCTCCCCTCCTCCTCCTCCTCCTGGTCCCCCACACCCGGGTCCCCAATAAACCCTCTCCCCTCGGCACTGGCTGCAGCTTTAATGAGGGCGGGGCCCCACTCTGCTAACGAGGGGGGCCCTAATGAAGACAAACGGGGTGGGGGATCAGGAACCCCAATGTCCTGGGTGGGTGGGGTGGGCGCCTCAATGTCCAAGTGAGGGACCCAGGTGTCCGGGAGCACCTTGACCTCCATGACGATGAACGTCCAACGTGGGGGGGGTCTCCAGGAGCACCTTGACCTCCATGGTGATCAATGTCCAACATGGGGAGGTCCTTCAGGTCCACCTTGACCTCCATGGTGATCAACGTCCAATACGGGGGGGTTCTCCAGGAGCACCTTGACCTTTGTGATGACCATTGTCCAACATGGGGGTCTCCAGCTCCACCTTGACCTCCATGGTGATCAACATCCAACAAGGAGGAGTTCTCCAGGAGCTCCTTGACCTCCATGGTGATCAACATCCAACATGGGAAGATCCTCCAGGTTCACCTTGACCTCCACGGTGATCAACGGCCAACATGGGGAGGTCCTCCAGGTTCACCGTGACCTCTATGATGACCAAACTCCAACACTGGGTGGTCCTCCAGGACCACCTTGACCTCCATGGTGATCAACATCCAAGAAGGAAGAGTTCTCCAGGAGCACCTTGATCTCCATGGTGATCAACGGCCAACATTGGGTGGTCCTCCAGGAGCACCTTGACCTCTATGACGATCAACAGCCAACATTGGGTGGTCCTCCAGGGGGTGGTCCCCCGGGGCCCCCTTGACCTCCATGGTGATCAACGGCCAACGTGGGGGGGCCTCCAGGTCCACCTTGACCTCCGTGGTGATCAACGGCCAACGCGGGGGTCTCCGTGGCCCAGGCGTCCGGGGCGGTGGGGCAGGGGGAACCCCGCCGTGGGGGGCCCCCTAGATGCGGAAGCTCTCCCCCTTGCCGTCGATGTGGCGCAGGCGCAGGTAGACGTCGGTGCCCACCCCCTGCAGCGACTGCAGGCAGAGCGAGCCCCCCAGGTACTCGGCGTAGGCCCGCGAGGTGGGCAACCCGAACCCGAACCTGGGGGGCAGCCGTGGGTCACCAGGGGGGTCCCCGAGATTTGGGAATGGGGGGGGAATCCCCTTGGTGGCCCTCCATCGTGACGTACCCGTGCATGGGGCCGGCCTGGCCGCTGTTGCTGAGGTCGAGGAGGTTGCGGAAGGGACCCCCCAAGCGGGGGGCCTGGGCGCTGGCCTCGGCCGTGCTGAAGTGGTACTCGGTCACCTTGTCCAGGAGGTCATGGGGGATCCCACCACCCCGGTCGGAGATCCTGGGGGAGGGACATGGGGCAGACCCCTCAGGGGCGTCCCCGAAGATGGGGGGCACCGGAGGGGAGGGGGTGGAGGACCCCCAGTAGAGAGGAACATCTTGGGGACACCGTGGAGACCATCCATGGGGACACCATGGAGAACTACTAAGCAGGAACACCTTGGGGACATCCATGGGTGTGGGGACACCATGGAGAACCCCCTCATGGTGACACCATCCATGGGGACACAAAGACACCATGGAGAACCCCCTCATGGTGACACCATCCATGGGGACACAAAGACACCATGGAGAACCCCCTCATGGTGACACCATCCATGGGGACACAAAGACACCATGGAGAACCCCCTCATGGTGACACCATCCATGGGGACACAAAGACACCATGGAGAACCCCCTCATGGTGACACCATCCATGGGGACACAAAGACACCATGGAGAACCCCCTCATGGTGACACCATCCATGGGGACCCTCAAGTGACTGAGGCCACCTTGGGGACATCATGGAGACCCTTCCTCAGGACATGGGGACACTGTGGGGACCCCCCTGTAGCTGAGAAGACCTTGGGGACACCTATGGGTATAAGGACACCCTGGAGAGCCCTTGTGGGGACATGGGGACACCCTGGAGAACCTCCCGTGAAGACGCTGAGGTACCCCGGGGACCCCCCAGTAGCTAAGGGCACCTTGGGGACACCTATGGGGACACCGTGGAGACCCCCCCACACACACACAACCCTGGGGACACCCCTCCCCCAGCCGGT